CAACCAACAGCTAAAATTAGAATGACGGGTCAGAAAATCGCCCAGTATTATAAAAATGTGATAAAATTGGATGATAAGTTAGTTGAAACAAAAATCCTTAATAAGCTTTAGCTGAAAATGTAGTTGATAGTTAATAAATTAACTGAAAGCTCATAAGTTAATTTTGAATTGATGATCGATAAGTATATTTAATTACTGAAAAACTAGCTGATAAAATACATGTATTTGGTAAATTACATGTCAAGTAAGTCTAACCAAAAATCTCAATTAGTTTTTTAGTTTGATATGGTACATAAAGAAATACTTTAGATTTTTTTTTTTTCCCAAAACGACAGATAATATAATAAATCAAAATGCACAAATGTGCGAATACACATCAGCTAACGGCTGAATACACAGCAGCCAACAGCTGAAAAAAGTGGGAGGACAGATCAGAAGACCGTCTAGAATCCCGGTTAGCAATGCTAGAATAAAAACACTCGCAACTAAACTAACTTACTACACAAACAAGAACTAAAAAGCTCCCAACAGGAGAGCCCGAGTTTAAGATTCCAACAGGATAATAAGTTTTATACCCTGGCTCACAAGGACCAAATGGTCTAAACCAAAAATACTAGACCCAAGAACAACACTAACACAAACAAAAACAAACAGAAACAAAAGACAAAATAACTAAACTATGTAGAGTATGACCTTCCCCAGCCAACACATGAGCTCAAACCAGCAGAGAAACAATCAATCTAAGAATATCCCAAGCCCAAGGAACTGCTACCGAACTGCGAGACAGCCTATACAAAAGCCGAACCCGAACCCCGGACCCATCTCAAATCAACCCACCACCAACTGAGAGAACAAGACCCGTTCCCGACACCAGCACAACCCAACTTGCCTAACACCACTACTCGAAGTCGGGTGCGCCGGACCCCACCTTTCCCAATACCAGAGGACCGGGGGTGAGAGCAGCCCTACCCTACAACCCCAACTTCCCCAACACTGGGTCTCGCAGCCACCAGGGTCCCGCTCCATCCACCGACCCTCCCGCCACCCAACCTCGCCACAATCCGTTGGAAAATAGACCCCCCGCTCTACCAGCGGGAGCTCCATAATCAGAGGCGACTGGAGGTCATCGTTCGCAAAACAAGAGGAAGATTGAGCGGGCAAAACCCCTCCAATCGAAGACCCATCGGTAAGGAAAGGCCATCGAACTCAGATCGAGGGCCCACCACCCCAATCGGGATTTCACTGACACCGAGAGCGGTGAGTCCATCACCAACAATTGCAGCGATAGTGGAAGGCGCGACGTCAGGGACAGAACGAGCGTTCAACGGCGACCACAGGCTCGAGCCTCACCGTCGACGAGGAGGCTAGAGATGCGCAAATCAGAGAGCTTCTGGAAGGGTTTCGTGAAATCACTGAAAGGAGGGAAAAGCTTAACAATAATAGTTTACTTTAGATAACCTTGCGTTTTTTATTTAAAGAAAGTTGTCTTACTAAAAAAAACTTATATTTATACGACTGATATATTAACAAAACACATAAATACATACTACAAAGCAGCTAGAGCAGCTGAATCAACCAGCTCAAAATTGAATGTAGAAGAACTGCACACACGAACCTTAATACGATAACACATACTAAACTATGACAAAACTAAAACAACTCACAAAAAAGAGAATACGAACTTCCACAAGGGGAGACTATTGACTCTAATAATGGAGAATAATTAAAATAAAACAAGATAAACACACAAACACAAAGTACAAAAAATATAACTAACTAATGAGTAGAATAAATCCCTCACAGTTTCTAAACATCTTGCCCACCTACAACCATCCTATTTGTTAAACATTCTGCAGCTGGATCCTGAGGCAAAAGGGAACCACTCTCATTCTTGCTAGACATGAAAGAGACATGCAGGTTAAAAGACCAGGCACATGTATTGATCTAGTCGACTAAGAGCGTAGTGAGCTAAGGGATTTATTGTCTTGTCCATTAAAAGTCACTGTAAAAGCCTTAGCCGCAGTATGTGAAAAATGATCAATTATTGCTTAAGCCAAAAATGGAGTTCTGTGTTTTCTATGCTTGTTGCGGATTTTTGCTCATTTCCTTTCTTCGTATTAGAGCGGGTGTAACAACCCGTAACTGTCCATTTTTTAGAAAAAAAAAATAGAAGTTTCTTTATTAGCTATGGAAAATATGATCCATTCAAGCATCGGATCTGGCCATATAGTCCAAAATATTTAACCAAAAACTCAAACACCTCTTATATTTCTTCAAAGCCAGTAGATCTCAACCAAACTAGGTGAAAAGAACTTTTTGATATGAAAACAACAAGCATTGACTACCATCAGAGGCTACAAGGATAGAAAATATCATCAATAATGATGCTGCTCCACCATCTCAATATGTCATGGATCAATACACACAACAACAGGTGTTAAACTTAGACTTTATCCATCGACAAAAGTAAGATCAGCTTCTTACATCTTGGTTGCTATTCTCCTTGAGTTTCAAACTGTTGGCCTTAATATCGCAAGAGAAATATGGAAATCTTTTAAAACAAATTTTTGTAGCAAAACCACAGCTTAGTTGATGCAATACAAGATGCAACTTCGAGGTCTGAAGAAAAAAAATCTCACAATGTCTCAATACCTAAACCAAATGAAGATTTGCTTTGACTATTTGGCTTCAGTTTGACAATCAATTTTGGAAAGATATAAAGTCATCCATATCATGAGTGGTTTTAGAAGTTATTATGACACGGTAAAGGTTTTAATGACAGCAAGGTTGGAGCCTTAAACGGTCACTATAGTTTGGGCTTTAGCTGTTTTGAGGAAAGATTATGTGGTCAACATCAAACTTGAGCCAATTGCTTATATTAAGGATCTTGTTGGTGGTACAGACCGAACGAATGGTAGTAGGGAAAAAAAAAGGGGAACTGGATGCCTCCGGGATCGGGCCGCTGCCGAACGGATGGGAGAGAATAAGCGAGATCTGTTTAATCATTACAAGGGCTAGTCGTACTGCGCGCATTAAATGTGGAGATACATAAAAATCCTTTATCTGACGGCAAAGGAAAAATAGGGACGCGTGGCACGATCCGGACGACTCTCAGATATTTGGAAAAGATTATCAAGTACAATTAGCATTAAATGCTGAATGACTAATATCTAAAAATGTCCTGTAAAAAGAAATGTAAAAATCCCCAAGAGGGAAATGTAAAGTCCCTAAACTTCCTATAAAAGGGAGGGGATGACATCATTTAATGCAATGAGTAAATGCCTTCATTAATTACTCTATAAGTCACGGATAGACTGAGCATTCGGACCAGTAAAATTAAACCGAATCACATACATAAATACTATTCGCGCAGACCGAACAGAGTACACATCTTAGTGTGCAGTTCGAACGCATTGTTGGTCATTTTTAGACATCAACAATTGGCGCTAGAAGGAGGGCTATTCTAGCATTTCAAAGACAACTTCATCATCATCAAGCCAAAGTTGCCGGCGAGACTCACCGAAAGAAAGGGAAGACCGGCGAAACAACCCAACTACGAGGACGGACTATTCAGCCTTTTTCAAAGACCCAAATTTTGTTAAGGGAATATCAAACCTGATAACACAGATCCGGCCCTCTACGTCTCAAGCACCCAAAACCCCAGCCAAAAAAGACCTTACCAACACCCTCAAAGGCAAGGAAACGAACGTTCGCGAAGAAACCACCCGGTCGCCCGGGAGCACGAAAGAAAAATCCACCACCCGGACAGAAAATGAACAGACGGACGAAAGTCGCTCGGTCACGGATACTCGAACCCGAAACACCACCCGGTCGGTTTTCAAACGGCTGGGAAAAAACGTAGCCGACGACGACCTGAGGAGAACATTGACCAGAAGGCGAACGACTCAAGCCGAAGAAGACGATATGAAGAGTCTCCGAAGAAGAATAGCCGAACTCGAAGCTCGACGTTCGCCCCAAAAACGACTGGCTTCCACCGGACAGGACCTGACAGAAGTCCCTATCAAACGAGCCACGACAACCTCAAGGGAACGAACGGAATCCAGCCCAGCCGAACCCGAATCACCCCTAACATTTGATATTTTGCAGGAACAGCTACCCGAGAAGATCAAGATCCCGCAAATTGGATTTTATGACAGAACATCTGACCCGGATACCCACCTAGGATTATACACGTCATGGATGGACCTGCACGGAGCACCAGACGCCCTCCACTGCCAGATGTTCTCATTAACTCTGGGAGAAAAAGCACAAAGATTGTACCATTCGCTCGCCCCACATTCGTTCGCTAGGTGGTCACAATTAAAATCCATGTTCCGAACCCACTTCATCGGATCCCAGGCGTGCCGAATTCCCAAAGAATCGATCACTCACATTATCCAAGGAGCAGACGAGAGTTTGAAGGATTATATCACTCGTTTCAACGAACGGGTACAAAACATGGAACCGTGCCATCAGGAGACCCTGCTCGTTTCAGCATATTCAGGACTGAGACTAAACTCGATGTTCATATGGACCCTCTACCAAAACAAACCTCAGACGTATCACGAATTCTTGATGAAAGCTCAACAACATATCATGGCAGAAGAAAACATGTTCGTCCCGTCATTTCCAGCCCTGAACGAGCAAACCACCAAAGCGAAGGAATCCCGACCGAACAAGGAGTTTGCGAAGGACTAAAGAAGTGCCCAATTCCGAGCCATGCAGAGGAAACATCACGAGGAACTCACGAACAGCTACCAGGGGGTGTATTCGGCCGGCGCGGCCGTAGTGTATGAAGAGTTGAAAAATAAGGGGATCATCCCAAACCCCAAACCGATCTGGGCCGATGAAGAGAATTTAGACAAAAGCTGATATTGTGCTTACCACAAATCGCACGGCCACAATACCGACCAGTGTCGGAACTTAATATCTGCCTTGTTGAAACTAATTGATGATCAGCAGGTAAGGAGGTTCACTAGGATGGACGCAGGCAACCGGAGGCCAAGAAACGATGAACGAATGAACCCAGGAGACGAGCCCGATTTCGGAGTGAATCCCCGGAGAGAGAACGAACATCACAATGAAATCTTGACGATCAGTCAGGAGCAACGAGGCGAGACGAGCGCATCCGGGGGAAGGAAAAGGACAGCGTCCAGGCGAGACGAGGAGCATTCGGTTCACATCCCAATCCGAAGAAGCGGACCGCCCACAAGGGTCAATACGAGCCGGGAAAGTTCGAGCGTGTCAAGAAGTCAAGCGGAGGTCAACCGACACGTCCCCATGCCCACAAATCTAATAATGTTTTCGGATGAAGATTCTCTCCCATTTGATAATCCACACTCAGATGCGCTCGTAATCACAGCCCCCATTTTCCGAATCCCAGTCCACCGAATCATGGTGGACACGGGGGCGTATTCAAGTATCTTGTACTGGACCGCATTCCTTAAAATGGGGATAGACCGAAGCGAACTGCGCCCATGCAATGACCGCATAACTGGATTCAACAGACAGGCAACCATTCCCGAAGGAGAAATCACATTACCGATCGAGCACGGGGGATCAGGAGCGAACGAACGAAGGATCATGGAGACTTTCAAGGTGGTGAAAATGGCCAGCAAGTACAATGCCATCCTCGGGCGAACGGCCTTATATAAGCTGAAGGCAGCCGTATCAATCTTCCACTATTCAATCAAATTCCCAACTAAGAACGGTACGGGAGTCCACTACGGCAACCAAAGGGAAGCAAGAGAGTGCATCATGGCGATCCCGTCATTAGAAATACACTCGGTCATGATGGTAAACGAGGAAGAGAAACTGATCGTCGAACCAGTTGTAGAGCCCGAACAGTCAGACGAGCAGAAAGTTTCGCCCGAACAGCCGGACAACAGTGCGGCCAAAGGAAACACGAATGAACGAAAGAGGGTGAGGGAAGAACCGATCGAGGGCCCAGAAGAGGAAGACGAGTACCCCATGCTGACGTCATCAAACACAAACACGCCTTCACCCCCGAGAGACAGACAGGGCGAAAAGGCTGTGAAAGAATCGGAGGCCGATCAATCCGACCCAAATGGAGAACAAAACCAGAAGTCCACCCAAGAGGAGGATGATCCATGCGATAAGGAGGATCGAACGGCAGACCGGGGACGCCGACCAGGGAAGGAACCAATTGAAGAAAAAGATGAGCTGGACCCCCGAGATCAATTCAAAGGAAAGAAATCCGAACGGGCCGAACCAAGCAAAGACACGGAGACGATCTATCTTGATGAACCAGCCTGCACCAAGTCATTACGCATCGGACGCAACATAGGCGAACCCATCCGGTCCAGGTTAATTACCTTTTTAATCGGAAACGCAGATGTCTTCGCCTGGATGCATGAAGATATGGTGGGGATTGATCCAAATTTAGCATGCCATAGCCTTCGGGTTGACCGAACGGTGAAGCCAATCGTGCAGAAAAGGAGGAAGTTGGGACCAGAACGACAGGGAGCGCTCGAGGGAGAAGTAATAAAATTGATCGACAACCGGTTCGTTCGTGAAGCTAAGTACCCGGTTTGGGTATCCAATCCGGTCCTTGTAAAGAAGAACAGTGGGACGTGGCGATTATGCGTTGACTTCAGCGATCTCAACTGGGCCTGCCCCAAAGACAGTTATCCGTTGCCCAGCATCGATTACATGGTAGACGCGACGTCCGGACACGAACTCATGAGCTTCATGGACGCCTATTCAGGGTATCACCAGATCCCGATGGACCCGAATGATGAGGAGCACACATCTTTCTATTCGGCCAGAAGACTCTATTGCTACACCATGATGCCATTCGGTCTCAAGAATGCCGGAGCAACCTACCAGAGGCTCGTGAATAAGATGTTTGCAGATCAAATCGGACGAACTATGGAGGTTTACGTGGACGATATGCTTGTTAAATCTGTTTTTGCGAACGATCATGTTTCACATCTTAATGAAATGTTTTCTATTTTGCGTGATTACTCCATGGTGTTAAATCCCAAAAAAAGTACATTTGGAGTGGGTTCGGGTAAGTTTTTAGGATACATTGTTAGCCAAAGGGGAATCGAAGCAAACCCCGACAAGATTAAAGCAATACTCGAACTAAAACCCCCTAGGTCGATAAGAGAAACGCAAAGTCTAACGAGTAGATTAGCAGCTTTAAGCCGATTCATTTCAAAGTCCACGGACAAATGTAAGCCCTTCTTCGAGGCTATTAAAAAGAATAAAAAATTCGAATGGACGGACGAATGCCAACACGCGCTGGATAACATCAAGGAGTCGCTCATTCGGCCTCCCGTCCTCCAAAAACCAACCCCGGGAGAGATGCTGTATCTATACCTTGGAGTTACCCCGACCATGATAAGCGCCGTACTCGTTCGGGAGGAGAATTTGAACCAACATCCGATCTATTACACAAGCAAGGCATTACATGAAGCTGAGGCCCGTTACCCACAGATCGAGAAGTTAATCTTCGCCCTGGTAACGGCTTCGAGGAAACTCAGGCCGTATTTCCTTGAACACCAGGTGACCGTCTTGTCAGCCTATCCTATTCGAATAATTCTCCACAAGCCTGATACGTCTGGACGAATGATCAAGTGGGCCGTAGAGCTTGGGCAGTTCGATCTCCAATATAAGCCACGGACGTCGATAAAGGGACAAGCACTATCCGACTTCGTAGCCGAGTTCACAACGGGAGCCGAACCAGTCCAAACTACAGAGACTTGGGAGATGTACATAGACGGATCGGCCACAACTGAAGGGTCTGGGGGAGGAGTCGTGATCGTCAGCCCCCAAAGAAAGCTATATTGCCATTCGGTCCGGTACATGTTTGCCGCGACTAATAATGAGTCAGAATACGAGGCACTGTTATCCGGCCTGGACTTGGCCCACTCGATGAACATCACGAGTTTAAAAGCATACTCGTACTCAATGTTGTTAGTGAAGCAAATCTCAGGGGAGTTCGAGACGAAGGAGGCCCGTCTGGTGCCATATTTACGCCTAGCTCGAAAGAAGATAGCGCGAGCGAACATTCAGCTCGTGCACGTCCCCCGGTCAGAGAATGCCCAGGCGGACGCCCTCTCACGGTTGGCATCCAACAGAGGAACTGACGAAATCGAGTACGTTTACACTCGCCATCAGGAGAGGCCGACCGTTCAGGTCGAGCAAATCATGAGGATTGAAGAATCGGTCGCTGCCACAACATCCGGATGGATGGACCCGATCCGATCGTATTTCGAGAAGGGAGAACTTCCCGCGGATCTCAAGGGTGCTCAGTCATTAAGGATCCGAGCGGCAAGATACACGATCATGGCAGGAACGTTATACAAGAGGGGCTATTCGAATCCATTGCTCAAATGTGTGGACGACGAAGAAGCCGAGCGAGTCATGAAAGAAGTCCACGAGGGCGTATGCGGGAACCATTCGGGGGGACGAGCGTTGGCACACAAAATACTACGACAGGGGTATTACTGGCCCACGCTGAAAAGGGACACATTTAACCTAGTCAGCAGGTGTGTTAAGTGCCAAACGTTCGACCCTAACTTGAAGCAACCGGCTCATCCGCTTACCTCAGTTTTCAGCCCCTGGCCGTTCGCCAAGTGGGGAATCGACTTAATCGGACCCTTACCAACAGGCAAGGGAGGAGTCAAATACGCGGTCGTAGCGGTCGATTACTTTACTAAATGGGCGGAGGCCGAGCCTTTGGCCACGATAACCGAGCAGAAGATGGTCGACTTTTTGTGGAAATCAATCGTTTGCCGATTTAGTATTCCCTATTCTGTGGTAACTGATAACGGACGACAGTTTGAGGGAAAGAGATTCGGCACGTTTTGTGAAGAGCTGGGGATTCGACATCATTTCTCTACCCCTTACCATCCGCAGTCAAACGGGCAAGAAGAGGCCATCAACAAAATTATTAAACAAGGTTTGAAGGTACGACTGGAAAGCTCGAAAGGGGCCTGGCCGGAGGAGCTCCCGAACGTCTTGTGGTCATATCGGACCACACCAAGATCGGCGACGGGAGAAACACCGTTCTCGTTAGCATATGGGGCAGAGGCAATGGTCCCGGTCAAAATCGGGTCGGAAACGTATCGAGTAAAGAATTTCGAAGAGGAAACGAATAGCGAGGGATTGCGAACGGGTTTGGACTTAATAAAAGAAGCACGAACGCAAGCCGAACTAAAGAACGCAGCATACAAACGGGTGACCAAAAGACACTTCAACGCAAGAGTCAATTCTCGTCTCTACCGAACGGGAGAACTCGTTTTGAAGAGAGTGACGGGACCAGATCTGGGTCCTCTAAAACCGAAATGGGAAGGACCATATCAAGTTGACGCCGTACTTAAGAATGGGGCCTACCGATTGAAGTACTTAGATGGAACCCCGCTGATGTATCCCTGGAATGCCATGTATTTGAAAAAGTATTATCAATAAAGAGTGTTCTGGTCCGACCAAAAATAAAACGACCCCAAGTAGGGTAACAACCGGACCACTTAACGTTGCCCGGTATCGGACCACTTAAGGTCGTCCGATCAAAAATAAAATGACCCCAAGTAGGGTAACAAGCGGACCACTTAAGGTTGCCCGGTATCGGACCACTTAAGGTCGTCCGATCAAAAATAAAATGACCCCAAGTAGGGTAACAATCGGACCACTTAAGGTTGCCCGGTATCGGACCACTTAAGGTCTTCCGATCAAAAATAAAATGATCCCAAGTAGGGTAACAACCGAACCACTTAAGGTTGCCCGGTATCGGACCACTTAAGGTCGTCCGATCAAAAATAAAATGACCCCAAGTAG